ACTTAAATCATCTATTGTAGACTGGGACTAAGCCGATGATACAATTGTTTTCGGGCCAGTCCAAGTTGTCGTGTCGTCGTCTTTTCTTTTCTTTTTTCGCGGGAGTATTTCAGACTCAACATGGAAAATCGGTAACGCAAATTGCCTAAGCTGCGATCGTATTTTGTAAGATTGGAATATTTCGCGGAAGATTCACAAGCTTTGCACAAATATAAGTTGGATAAATATTCAGACTCTCAAGAATTGAAAAATGATTACGTGGATATAGTAATGCAACGGTGACTGAAAAAAGTTATGCGAGTTTTTAACACGATAGCACACATTGACAAGCCGCAGGGAAATCAAGATCAGTGGTACATGTTAGAAATGTTTATTTTTCTTAATTGAGTTAATTAATATATTCTTTTATATACAACAAACGCATCTCGCGAAAATTAAATATTTTTTTATATTTAAAGACATAAAACCTATATAAATCTGAGTCAAATATTTAACTCATAACGTGTACCTTGTAAATGTTATAATTATTCGGGTTGATAATCTTAATTAAAATCATATCTGATAATTCGAATTTAATATTATCTAAATTAAAATTAAAATTCTGTCAAAAGCCCGACGGATTATAAAATTATGCAAGACGAGATTTATATACAAAATATAATCATACACAGAAAACTGATTAAATAAACTACATCTTTCCATTTGTTTTTGTATATACCAATGTACCTTCAAATTATGCAATTTGAATAATTTATTTTTCAATAGTTATCTACAATACTGTTTTACAAGTATTAATATATAAAGCTTTTTATATGCGTAGTACATATTAAAACTCATAACAAAAATATATTCTTCCAAAACATTCATCTAGTATATCATCTTCCTATATTTTTTTTTAATATACAACTTCTTTTATTAGGAAATCATAATCTGTCAGTTGAATGCAACTCGTAATGCATTTTAAAGCTCTCTCTTATCATCTTTAGAATTAAGTTTTAGTGTCATGCGCAGAATCACCAGGAATTGGGATTGTCAGAAAATTTTTCCCATCGAAATTCTTGAAAATACTTCAGCAATTCTTTAATCTCAAACGAATAATCTCTGTACATATATACAGAACGCTTTGAGAGATGATGCCAATTTGTGAGAAGCCTACTGAGAACGATTAGAAAATGTAAATAAATTTTTCTCCGAATTATTAGCGTCTTTCTTTACTGCGTGGTCTCCCAAGGGTTTTATTTTAATAAAATAAAATAATTAGAAATCGTTTGTCGATTTATTATGTGAATTTACTGGCGACAATGATTTTATCTAAATGAAACTGTGTGATATCCAAAAAGAAACCGGCGCGCAGGACAAGGTAGAAAACGGTTTATGAATTCACATTTTAGATTGCAATTATTGAGCTACCAACATCTTGCTCGGACCTAAAGGTGCTCTCGCTTGTTTGTCTTATTTTAATTTTGTAAGACGACACGTGATATTCTTTATTTCGTCATGTTAAAATTATTATTTTATAATTTTGTTATTCGGATATTTTGATATATTATTAGTTTTTTTTTTACTTAAAGAATCTGAGTAAAATATTGAAAAGTAACGTTGAAAATAAAAACTATTGCACATCTTTCCATAAGAAATAATTGCAGATAGAAAATCACTCGCGCGGCCTTATTACGAATTTGTAACAATCGTAAAAAAGATTTACTTACATTTTCTGAAGTAAATGTTATTTTCTCTTAACTGTTTTAGAAGATAATTTTAGGAGGATAATTTACTTTCAAGATACTTATTGTTAGTGTAATCATAGTATTATACAAGTAGTAGGTCCACTCTCACGTGGTATTCCATGTCCTTGACCGAAGTTCAGCAAGGTATGTGTGTGTACTCATTAAACTACACTACCACACATAATTTTCCTCTCATCGGCTGGACGAACAAAGTGTCGGATGCGCAGAAGGGATCGACGCAAAACGAAACAAATGACGGAATGGACTTACTAGTTAATACTATGGTAAACAAGAAGTACAAGATCCTTTTTTAAATTACAAAAAATTCTTTGTTACAGCAACAAAGAAATTAGGCTACCACTGTCCGGAAACTTAACAGTTCATAGACGAAATTTTTGAAAATTTCTATTTCACTTAGTAAGTTTGAGTGCTGCTAAATAAAAGTGTCAGTAACTCCGGGTCCGTTAAATTTCTTTTATATTTTTGTACCATCTCTTGAATTTTTAAACGTCTTCGCACATGCGGTGGATGATAACTGAAACATAAGAAACGCAATATGTTTTATCCAAAATAAAAAAGGCACACGCTTTATTTCAATATAAATGTGATTTAATTAACAGAATGCAGAAGTAGGATCTTTTTCAATATTAATTCTTTTACCTATCGTTGTCGAGCCTTTTTCTTCGTCCCATATTGAGAGCCGTTTGTTTCACCAAGGTTCCCAAGACTCTTCTCGATACTACCATACCGTCAATTAAAGGCGTCGCTAAATTGATTCTAGAAACCGGCCCTTGCAATCTGACCCGCATCAATCCGTTAGCGAGAGCTTGTAGAAAGATAACGTGCACGTCGGTAGCTTGCAGCATCCTCGCTTGTTCCAGTCCGGTATAAGTGGAAGGAAGCAGATCGCCTATGGTCCAACAAGAGCATTTAATATAACACAGAAAAAAGTACGTACGCGGTAACGACACTACATGGTAATAAAATATACAAGAAAACGTTCGGATTAATTGATCGCGACTTTTAGGGTGTTACGCTTGAAGGAAGAGCAAGAAACGAACCAATTGGAAACTGAATGTGATCCTCCAGACTCTCCAACCACACAACCATGATTTTTGTATTAGTTTGAGACGGCAGAGCCTGCTTTGTCGACCTCCTAGGCCTGATGGGATCTGCACTCGAGGAATTCGCCGGACCTGCTCCCGGCAAACTCGACGGCTGCTTCTCCAGATCGAGTGACATCGTTCGAGAAGTCTGCGTGGTGTTTTGTGACGTCCCACTGTTGCGAGCGTCCGTACTTTCACTGATGCTCCGCTCAAACCAGGCTGCAACAAAGAACAATATGTAAACTGTGCTTGTAAGAAATCAATTTATTATACATGACAATCTCTTTAGATAACAGCAAGGCAAACAAAAAGATTTCTTTCTAGAATCTCTATTTTCATTAATATTCCCGCCTTCAAGATGTACCTTGTCCACTGGTACTGATATCGCTGTTGTAACTGGTCTCCTCTAATGAATCCGAACTGGCCATGAGATAGGATTGCGTAGGCACCACGAATGCAATTTCCGAACTCACGTCCGCCCAATACAGCACGTGAGTGTCGCCGTTATAAAGCGCCCCGCCGTGATTGCTGTGAGCCGGCTGTGGCACGTTCACTTGCGCCGTTACTCTCCACGATGTAGATACGTGGCCCGTCCAGCCCGCGTGAGCTGATACGGAAACGGGCCAGCCGAGAGAACTTAAGAATTCCAAGAAGTTTGGCGACACATTCTCCTCGTGCAACTGCGAACGTGAAATATGTAACGTGACGTTGTGTCTTCTACTTTTTACCGAAAATTCAGAACATAGAGAAAATCCAATGTCTTACCACGTTTACCAATATTTCAGAGGCGGACTTTTGGCCGGCTTTTACGTAAAAGATATGAACGGTGTCGCACGTTCGTGGACTGATGTTGTCCAGAGTCTCCAAGTCCGTACAGAATCCAGGGATGGTCGGATCTAGAGCGATCAGCCCGCTACCTCTGGATTCCTCGTTCTCCTTAGGTTCCATGTTTAAGAAACCGAAATGGCTCAGAAATAGACGAGCCGTTTGGAACTCGTGACAAACCTGGGGCGGTACGCATTCGTCGGTTTTGTCTTCCGCAGCCTTTACATTAACGTTGTCGTGCTTCGACTCGAGCGTTATTTGACGTTCTAGGAGCTGCGCGAGGATCTGATGTTCGTCTCG